TGATAACATTAAACTCCTAACTATTCCTATCTGTATTAACGATGTAGAAGTGTTAAAGAATGACTTGAATCAGTTGTTAAGTTGGACAAATGGCCTTTGATTGCAGTAAGTGCACGGTACTGTATCTGGGTTATGATAATTTGTTTAATATAGATGGGAACCAGCCCAATAGCGTGTCTGAAAAAAAAGGATCTTGGTAGAGTGTTGGATAAGTCAGTTAAATCATCGAAGCATTGCCGTGTTGCTAGTAGCAAAGCCAATATAATTTTATTGAATTTATAAATACATTCATTACAAGACAAAAGACGTAATTATCTCTCTATAGTCAGACCTCACTTGGAATACCCTACAGTTTGGATCTCATTATCTAAGAAAGAACGTTGACTTGATGGAAGTGGTTCAGAAGAGAGTTACTGGGACAAATACAAGGTTATCTTACAGGAACAGATTACAATCTTTACAGGGCTATATTACAATCTTTACAGGGTTATCTTACAGGAACAGATTACAATCTTTACAGGGTTATCTTACAGGAACAGATTACAATCTTTACAGGGTTATCTTACAGGGATAGATTACAATCTTTACAAGGTTATATTAAAAAAAGGAGATTAAGAGGTAATATTATTGTATGTACTATATTATCTGGAGGGTCGATAAGATTTCTTGTTCCTTTTTGCTAAGCAGGGTTGAATTTCTATCAAAAAGATTCTATAAATATAATTCAGCAAGTCACATGACAGCCACAGTCAATATAAAGTCGCGGTGAAGCGGAATATGTCAACAGTACATTTGTAAATAAGTGTTCGTAGGTAGATGTATTATGTAAAACAATATTGGTGTTATAGTAGGTAAGACAACTTTGATGTTGTGGTATGAAAAACAGCTTTGGTGTTATAGTATGTAAAACAGCTTTGGTGTTGTATTATGTAAAACAGATTTGGTGTTATAGTAGGTAAAACATGATTGGTTTTATAGTATGTAAAAAAACTTTGGTGTTATCGTATATAAAACAACTTTGATGATTGTGTATTTAATCAACTCCGGTGTTATGGTACATAAAACAACTTTGATGATTGTGTATTTAATCAACTTTGGTGTTATCGCATATAAAACAACTTTGATGATTGTGTATTTAATCAACTTTGGTGTTATGGTATATAAAACAACTTTGATGATTGTGTATTTAATCAACTTTGGTGTTATGGTATATAAAACAACTTTGATGATTCTGTATTTAATCACCTCTGATGTTATCGTATATAAAACAACTTTGATGATTCTGTATTTCATCAACTTTGGTGTTATGGTATATAAAACAACTTTGATTATTGTGTATTTAATCAAGTCTGGTGTTATCGTATATAAAACAACTTTGATGATTGTGTATCTAATCAAGTCTGGTGTTATCGTATATAAAACAACTTTGATGATTGTGTATTTAATCAACTCTGATGTTATCGTATATATAAAACAACTTTGATGATTGTGTATTTAATCAACTTTGGTGTTATCGCATATAAAACAACTTTGACGTTTGTGTATCTAATCAAGTCTGGTGTTATTGTATATAAAACAACTTTGATGATTGTGTATTTAATCAAGTCTTGTGTTATCGTATATAAAACAACTTTGATGATTGTGTATTTAATCAAGTTTGGTATTATCGTATATAAAACAACTTTGATGATTGTGTATTTCATCAACTTTGGTGTTATGGTATATAAAACAACTTTGATGATTGTGTATTTAACCAACTCTGATGTTATCGTATATAAAACAACTTTGATGATTGTGTATTTAATCAACTTTGGTGTTATGGTAAATAAAACAACTTTGATGATTGTGTATTTAATCAACTTTGATAAATGTGTATTTAATCAAGTTTGGTGTTATCGTGTATAAAACAACTTTGATGATTGTGTACTTAATCAACTTTGGTGTTATCGTATATAAAACAACGTTGGGTATAGATTGTTATAAGAACTACCCCTGACATGGGGTTGTTGGGTATAGATTGTTAGAAGAACTACCCCTGACTTGGGGTTGTTGGGTATAGATTGTTAGAAGAACTACCCTTGACATTGGAGTTGTTGGGTATAGATTGTTATAAGAACTACCCTTGACATAGGAGTTGTTGGTGACTCCTATGTCAAGGGTAGTGCTTCTAACAATCTATACCCAACAACCCCATGTCAGTGGTAGTTCTTATAACAGTCTATACCCAACAACTCCTATGTCAAGGGTAGTTCTTATAACATTCTATACCCAACAACTCCTATGTCAAGGATAGTTCTTATAACAATCTATACCCAACAACTCCTATGTCAAGGGTAGTTCTTATAACAATCTATACCCAACAACTCCTATGTCAGTGGTAGATCTTTTAACAGTCTATACCCAACAACTCCTATGTCAAGGGTAATTCTTATAACAACCTATACCCAACAACCCCATGTCAAGGGTAGTTCTTATAACAATCTATACCCAACAACCCCATGTCAGGGGTAGTTCTTATAACAATCTATACCCAACAACCCCATGTCAGGGGTAGTTCTTCTAGCAATCTATACCCAACAACTCCTATGTCAAGGGTAGTTTTTATAACAATCTATACGTTGGGTATAGATTGTTATAAGAACTACCCCTGACATGGGGATTGTTGGATATAGATTGTTATAAGAACTACCACTTACATTGGGTTGTTGGGTATAGACTGTTATAAGAACTACCACTGACATGGGGTTGTTGGGTATAGATTGTTAAAAGAACTACCACTGACATGGGGTTGTTGGGTATAGATTGTTAAAAGAACTACCACTGACATGGGGTTGTTGGGTATAGATTGTTATAAGAACTATTATTTTAATTAGTTTAACAATTAAACAATGAACAATTTTCAATTGTTAAAACTAAGGGGACTACTGTTTAAATGACGTCGTATGAAACATATTATTATTTTAATTAGTTTAACAATTAAACAATGAATAATTTTCAATTGTTAAGACTATGGGGGCTACAGTTTAAAGGATGTCGTATGAAACATATTATTATTTTAACTAGTTCAACAATTAAACAATGAATAATTTTCAATTGTTAAGACTGTGGAGGCTACTGTTTAAAGGACGTCGTGTGAAACATATTATTTTAATTAGTTTAACAATTAAACAATGAATAATTTTCAATTGTTAAGACTGTGGGGGCTACTGTTTAAAGGGTGTCGTGTGAAACATATTATTTTAATTAGTTTAACAATTAAACAATGAATAATTTTCAATTGTTAAGACTATGGAGGTTACTGTTTAAATGACGTCGTGTGAAACATATTATTTTAATTAGTTTAACAATTAAACAATGAATAATTTTCAATTGTTAAGACTGTGGGGGCTACTGTTTAAAGGGCGTCGTGTGAAACATATTATTTTAATTAGTTTAACAAATAAACAATGAATAATTTTCAATTGTTAAGACTGGCAGCTACTGTTTAAAGGACGTCGTGTGAAACATATTATTTTAATTAGTTTAACAATTAAACAATGAATAATTTTCAATTGTTAAGACTATGGGGGCTACTGTTTAAAGGACATCGTATGAAACATATTATTTTAATTAGTTTAACAATTAAACAATGAATAATTTTCAATTGTTAAGACTAAGGGGACTACTGTTTAAAGGATGTCGTATGAAACATATTATTATTTTAATTAGTTTAACAATTAAACAATGAATAATTTTCAATTGTTAAGACTAAGGGGCTACTGTTTAAAGGATGTCGTATGAAACATATTATTACTGTAATTAGTTTCTGGTTTTGAATGTGAATAGTTGAACTTAAGACGATCATGTATCTATTTTCCATAAATAAAATTATTTATACTGCGTTATAGGTGTCGCTATATCTGTTACATATTTCAGACTCTATGGAATTTTTTCCAGACTTCAATCTATTTGCTGTAAAAAAGTATATCATGTGTAAACCTTCGAGAGACAACGTTGTGGTTGCATGTGTAATTATAAATGGTATGAAAGGTTGTGAATGTGCAATTAAACATGGTAAAAACTATTCTCGCTATCGTCCAAATAATTTTGGAAAGTTATAATAAAACATTTTTATAATATTTTTTTTTGCTTCTACACTTAGATTATATCTTTAATTTAGTAACGTTTTTTTCTCATTCTTAACGAGAGTAAATAGTATTGTTAAAAAGTTTTGTTCGTTAGTTTAGGCTTCAGCTCAGAATCTTATCCTCCAGTCCTTCAAAATTCAAAAAAATAAACAATTACCACTAGTACAGATGATCAACTTTATAATTTTACTACAATTACATGCTACCTTTATAACATTCTACCGAGTAACTTATCTAAAAATAAGTTTGTTATATTATCGTCTTTCCATATTTGTACAACAGATAGCGCTAGAAGTTCTACAACAAGAACTGATCAGCTAATCAATCATTGTGAAGATTTATTCTTGTGCTTGAACGTGACATCGTAGAACATGAAATAAAATTAAATTACTGATATTGAAAATTTCTTCAATGTGCTTTGTTTAAAGATTCATGTAATAACGTTCTATGCACTGATGTCAGGTTTCACTTAATGCTTTTGCCACCATTGGAGAAGCCCTCAGTGAAAAATCTGAAGGCTTATAACATTAAAAACCGGGTTTCAATACTCGTGGTGGGCATAGCACAGATAGCCCATTGTGTAGCTTTGTGCTCAGCTACAAACAAATCTTAATTCATGGATTACATTGATAAACGAGTGACTATTTAAAATAAATATAAAATATTTTAAATTTCACATTCTCGTCTATAGCTACACCGACGTTTGTACGACTAAACTACATTATATTATTCGTTTTCTAAACAAAGAACTTATCACAATATTTCAATCGTGCACCTCTCCTTAGCCGAACAAAATGTTTTCATGTCTAATTTTTTAAAGAAAAATATTTAACGTTTTCAGAAAACTTTTCAAAAAGAAACCGAAACTTTCAATACTTTTCTTATTCTTTTAATTGTTACATAATACGAAACAGAATTAATATGTTCCTTTGTATGAAATTAATAAAACTAAAATTAGAGAACAATGGTGAAACATCTTGTGGAACCTTTGGTTTCCGTAAAACTCATCAATTACAGAATTAATATGTTTCTTTGTATGAAATTAATAAAACTAAAATTAAAGAACAATGGTGAAACATCTTGTGGAACCTTTGGTTTCCGTAAAACTCATCAATTACAAAAAATACAAATAATACAGTGGGTTGTTGTCCTTAAAGTTCGAATTTAAGGAAATCCAGTTGTTCACCTAATACTGTGATGCCACACAAGGCAGAAGACCTTAACTGTTCACTTAGTACTATGACGTAGACATTGGACAGATACTGTAACAGCACAATACACTAGGAACGGATAAAAAATCACTAAAAAGAAATGTTAGATACTTAAAAATCAATTCTTTCAAAAATCAAAGGAAAACCTTACTGATGACTTAAATTTACATTTCGAGACGTACAGTCTCAAGACCATTGCAGAAGTCTGGTCAACATCAAGAAAGCCCTTACTACACCTTATTGTATACACATTTTAGTGTGGTATATTGTTCTACTGTCATACTTAACTCTTCTTCCAACAGTATCTATATATATCATTTGTACTGTTCAACTTAAATGTCATTTAAAATCATTCCAAAAATATAAATGAAATGAGACTTAACAGCATTGAACTGTAGCCATTCATATATTTAAAAACAAAACTTTACTTAAAATACCTTTTTAACAGGTACAATGCTAAATATTTGAAAGTTACATAAACTTCTTGATAACATGAACACAGAAATCATTATAGAACAAATCATGTTCTTGAGAGAAGATGTAAAGCCAACTCCTCGTCATCGGTTAATGTTAATCCCGTGTCTAGTGGCTGCGAAGTTCCCTCCTCCGATCTTTTCTGTCGTTTGGACACAGAGAGGCTTGGCTGCTGGAGTTTTCTCTTGTTCCTTCATGTAATAAACACATTGAAAAATAAAATATTTATTTTTAAACCAATTACTTGACAGCATAATATATAACTATAATCACTTGACAGTGTAATAGCAATATTTAATTATAATTACTTGACAGTGTAATAGTAATATATGACTATGATTACTTGACAGTGTAATAGTAATATGACTATGATTACTTGACAGTGTAATA